AACGCCAGATTAAAAAAATTTAAAATTATAGTTAACAAGGACTAAATATGAAGATTATATGATGGGTTCATCCCCCATTTAAAAGTTGTATTAATTTGCACATTGATAATAATTGTAATTTTTAAAAGTTGCGTTTTTTCTTATTCTTCCACCTTTGCCAGCAATAAATTACAATTTGACATACTTATATATTTTTTATCAATTACAGTACAGATCAATGATGTTTAAAATCTCTTTAAGTTTCCACGAATTTGTAAAAATTACATGAAGGAAAATCAATTTAAAATATTCAGCAAAATTTCAAGAATTCAAGGTAACTAGAACCCTGTTAAAGGCTTGTGTTGATTGCAATTAATGGACACTACATTTTGCATTTACGACCAGCTCCTTAGTTTTAGGCAGACTAATATGTATTACCTGTTAATGCAAACTTTTACAAATTACTGAGGCAATTCACTCAGCCATGGTAAAGATTATGTGAGAAAATTATTTATGACAAATTTGCGATAATGCAACACCCATGATCGTTTTTAAGAAAATTTGTGGATATAAAATTAACTCAGATGTAAGGTTACGATCAGTAAATCTGTAAATAATTATAATAAGTATTTGGTAAATTGAAACAAAGTTTACCAAGTCAATTTACGCAGTCATTGGTAACTTTGTAAAATCGGTAAATTTTGTGACATAAGTTTACAAACTTTCACCAAATAAAAAGACATCATTTATCTGAGTAAAGTTGCAAAAAGTTATGAGCAAATTTTCTTTGAAAATATTTGTAACCATTTGTAGACTTGCAAACTTTTACAAAATAAAGAGACGCTCTGGACCTGAGTAAGTTAATGAAAATTTGCAAGCTAACTTTCCTTCGAAATTCGAAATAGTGGTAAAATTTTGTAAGTTTACGAATTTCAAAATGTTACCAAGGCCTACGTGAGAATTGTGTCATTATCGATCCGCAAATTTTGCAGAGTTATAAAGCATTTTTGTTTTGTTCTTCTCATGTCTAGACGTCGATTGAAGCATAAAAAACCAAAGCGAGTTACGTGCACGAGGTCAGGGAACGAACAAACAAAATCTGCAATTATTTGACGCTTTATCGTCGAAATTGTGTAACTGTCGCGGTTTTGAAATGGTACATTCGAAAATGTCGATGTTATCTGGAATGTCTTAATTTTCAAGGAAGTTTACTAACAACCCAGTTGTTATGAGACAGAATATGTTTAGGGGAATATGTCGCCTGGTAGAAAATGTAACATGCATATCCTGGTAATAATTTAGTACCGCTGCTATTGTACATTTCATATCTGATTAGTGCACTCTTAGAAATCTGGTAGAGTCAGGCAGCTATTGATTTCTCGATATTAGATACATGGGGCAGCCATGGACGTATAACTTATTTTATAAGTTATAAGTCATAGAAACGCCATAAGGCGACGTATATTTATAATTATAAGTTAAGTTATACGTCATAATTTTAAGTTATAAGTTATGCGTCCATTTGCTGCCCCATGTATCTATTAAAGTTGCTACCGCTTGGTATTAAAATTATACAGCTCCCTAAAAACTTGCTACGGATATGGTAAAACTTTAATACCGAGCTATTACTGCACCGTATTACTTATCAACAACACTTTATTAGAGTCATAAATTAATATCCCTTGGTGTTATTATATAAATACTGGATTTCTAAGAGTGTATAATATTCCGCAATGTGTGGAAATTAGTGCACAATTTGCACAGTTTACGTGTAAACTACCCTTGTTAATTTAGGCCTTGCAAATATCGAACATCTTAAAAATTCCTTTATCACGTCGCAAGGTTATGAAACTACTACATACGAAATCAGTTCCGGTTACCATAAAAACGGGTTAAAATTGAAATATTATCGAGCCAATTGACAAACACTCTCAATAATTTTTTGACGATATTGTTACCGGCGGAGGTACTATGCAATTCTACCGCTCGGATAATAATTTATTACCGAAGGGTATACCCTTCGGTATATATGCTATATACAGAGGCTAAATCCTGCTCAGCCCCCAATGTCAACGCTCAGGTAATAAAAATATTACCGATACCGGAAGCAATTTTCTACCCTCAAAAGACAATTTGTTACTATAGTGTTACCATGCGGTAGAGTTGTATAGTATCTCCGCCGGTAATAATTTTGTCAAAAAATTATTGAGAGTGAACAAGTAAAACCGTTGAAACTTTGTAAACTGTAAATTTTATGGGCTACACAAAACTTGCTGTACAACGTTACAAAAAGATTGTATATATAAATTACACATCCATTTAGATCACTTTGAAACACTAATTTACTAAAATGTGCATCTTGTCATACAGTTTAATGAATTACAAAACTCTGCGTAGCGTAATTTAACAATTAAACGCATGCGTTTAATTGCTAAATTACGCTGAAAAAATCATGTATAATTTTTTATCAAAATTACCAAATTTAGCAGCAGTTAAAATGTTATTCTTTCTGAGGCATGAGGCAAAGTAAAATTTATTCAATTTATGCAAGATAAAATCAAGATACCATAGCCACAGAGGTTCATCTTATCTGAAGTCGACTTAGGTTTACTCGATTACAAAATACTTAATTTCGGCATCAAAATGAGTCAATCCACGCAGCACTTGGTAGCATTGTAAAATCTGCCAATTCTGCAAACTTATAAACTTCTACAAAATTTTACAAATATTTCTGAAGAAAATTAGATTACAAATTTTTGTAAACTTACTCAGATCAAGGGAATCTATTGTGTAAAAGTTTGTAAAATTGTTTTACAAAACTCTGGATTTTCCTAGGTTATCAAGCAATGCGTAAATTGTTTCATTACTTTTTTATGTGAGACTTAGGAGGGGAGCTTCACCACCTGCCCCTCTCAGATATTGATGTGCTTTGGATATGTGGTAGTGTCCCATGAGTGTACTAAAACCCTGAAGTGGTTTGACTCCATGGCCACAGTTACGCCTGCCACACCCACTCAAAGGCGTCAAAAACACGAAAAAAGCCCTGTTTTCACTTGTTCAAACCCTCGCCAAAAATCCAATTTTGCTCGGATTTTGGTAAAATTTACATTTTTGTAATCCCAGATACTTGTTTGATCATATCCAGTAGCAATCTCAACTTTTTTGAAATTTTGAATTTTTTCGAATAATTCATCAGCCCGAAAATTTCAAAAATTTCAAAAAAGTTGAGATTGCTACTGGATATGATCAAACAAGTATCTGGGATTACAAAAATGTAAATTTTATCAAAATCCCATCAAAATTGGATTGTTGGTGGATTTTTGAAGTTTGTAACTTTTGTGGTTTTCATCCCTTTGAGTGGGTGTGGCGAGCGCAAATGTGGCCATGGAGTCAAACCACTTCAGGGTTATAGTACACTCATGAGACCCTATCACATATCCAAAGGGCATCGAGATCTGAGAGGGGCAGGTGGTGAAGCTCTCCTCCTTAGACGCCACATTTAAAAGTTAGTAAATTACTGGTTGTAACTTGTAACAATTAATTTGATGCAGTGGGAAAAAACATCCGCGTTTAAAACCAGGTTTAATTTTTTTTAGATTAAATTGCTCCCTCACAATTCAACGCTATTTGTAAAACCGTATAATTTTAAACGAATTGGTTGGAAAATTCATTTTTTTTTTTACTCAAGTTGTAAACAAACATGGTTTTTTTTAAGCAATTCATATATTTAGTCCTTGATGACTTTGTAAAATCCGGAACCTTTTACAAAATTGTATCTGTTACGAAATTTAGCTTACACATTTCTTGTAAACTTGTAAAATAAAGTGATGCCGCATCACTTTATTTTGTCAAATTTTGTAAAATTATTTCACTAAACTTAACCATTTTACAAAGTTGCCAATGATTGTTTTTTTATGTGAGACTTAGACCCCACATTAAAAAATTTGCAAATTACAATAGTCGCAACAACTAATTAGGTAAAATGAAAATAGCATCCACATTTGAAGCTATTTAGCCTTAAACTTTCTACATTAAATTTCTGCGTCGCAATTCCACGCTATTTATACAACCGTATCGTACCCATTAACATCGAAATGCAATTAATAGTCACAGGTGGGCTGGTTGGGTCAACCCCGATCGCCTTCTTACCCCTGACCGAGAGCTTGACTGAAAGACCCCCCACACAGAAATGCGGGGGGTGATCCATCACTGTCAACTTATTTTTCGTTTCCAGCCGTATTTAATGCAGACAAAAATGCATGCAATCAACAGATCAATTTTGGCAATTACATACGTACGTACATCGTTTTTCGACTATATTTACTCAAAATAAGTTGGTAATAACATTGTCCCCGCGTGTAGTCAATGTGCGACTGGTGACTTGCGTTAACCAAACGGCGATAAAAATTTCAAAAAGACTTCTTGTCTCTTCTCAATCTTTGACATATTTCCGATTAAATAAAAATAGACTGTAAAACCTGGCGCAATTACGATATCGCTTTATTCGGCCACAAAGTTGAGCATAATTATCATAAAATTCGATCACTGTACTAATTAAATTTCTAATTGATTGACAGTAATGTTCTCAAAACCAGATAGCCCGGAGACCTTCCTTATTAACACTCAAAATAAGGTAGTAATGAATCATTACCATGCGGAAACACTATGTGTCTCTACCACGTCGGTTACGATTTGTCGTAGAAATAGTAATAATAAGTTCAGGGAAATTCAAATTCATTACCAAGTATTAAGGAAGTGAATACCATTATGTAATAAATTTGAATTCCCCTGAACTTATTATTACCATTTCTACGACAAATCGTAACCGACGTGGTAGAGACACATAGTGTTTCCGCATGGTAATGATTCATTACTACGTTATTTTGAGTGAAGTGAATTAAATTCGTGGAAAAAACAGTATCGAAAATTTTTACACGATACAAATTAGTTAGCGAAAGGTCCACACTGTTTCATTCGTGATAATAAAACACTCCAATATATGCAAATTGTACCAAGTTTACAAAAAAAATATTGTCTACACGTTTGTCACATTACAGATATTATGCACCCCAACAAACTAGACACACGCTCACCGAATTATTTATTTATGCCCCCTCGGTTTAACGAGAACCCACAAATATTTAAGGTACCATTCATTCCCCCGACATTCAGTCAATTACGGGCCACCACTTACTTAAACCTTACGATTATAATAAAAGATAAGCCACTAAACAAATTCCATTCTTATGAAAAACAGAACGTGCGCCGACACGCGATTTGGTTTTTACAGTTTTCACTTTAAGGCTTACATCGCACGAGAGACGTCATCTAAAAATAGCGGAATTTTGATCCTCAGTTTACTCTTTCTGTTCCGAGCCGCGACCCTTCAGTCCCCCGAGGAAAAAGTGTGCTGATCAAATTTTTAACAGGTTTGTACCCTTAAACACAAATCGAGAAACGATACGCGATTTTGTACTTTAAACTTTTACCAATTTTCTCTTCGAAGGTGGTCGTGGTCGTGGTCGTCTTTGGTCGTCCCTCCGCAACCCTTAAGTCCAACGAGGAAGAAGTGTTCCGATCAAATTTTTGATCGATTTTTACCCGTAAAAACTATCCGACAAGTGATTTACTTCTTCAACTTTCTCTATTTTACACTTCGAAACTTGTCATACGTTGTTACCGAGATGTCGTCTAAAAAGGGTGGAATTCTGGTGGTCGGATTACTCATGGTCGTCCTCGTCCCCTCCGCGACCCTTCAGTCCCCCGGGGAAAAAAGTGTGTTGACCAAGTTCTTAACCGATTTGTACTCTAGATCGTCAAAAACTCGGAATTGTGAGCTGTTTTTTGTGCGACAGGGTGAAAGTGATTTTGATCTTGGTAACGACGAACTGATCGGTGGCGTAGTCCGTGGCGTGGGGGTGGTCGCGTATTACAACGCGATCTTAGAGACACATACGATTGGAAATTCATCAGAAAAAGTGAAGTTTTCCGTACCAAATCCAATCTACAATTTGCGTGCCGCAGTGTGCAAAGCGGTCATCGTGACGGTCCAGGAGGTGCGGGAGGAGTGGCTAACGAAAGTTAAAGAGTAAGAAAAATTTGCAAATTTTGGCATGCAAAATTTAATATTTCATCCACATTTTCATTCACAATGAGGCAATGGAGGGCTTGGTAACTTGGTAAATTCTGTGAATTTCCTAAGTTTCACAAAATTTTCTAAATATTTCTAAGGGAAATTAGCTTACACATTTTTTTAGACTTTCTCAGATCAAGGGCGTCTTTTACTTTGTAAAAGTTTGGAAAATTATTTTACAAAATTTATCAGTTTCACAAAGTACATAGACGTCATTGGTAAAAAATCGTGGCGAAAATTGATTCAATCTAACTTACTTTTGCGATCGGAAATTCGCAAAGTTATAAATACGACGTGTAACTCTTCATTTACAAAAAATATTTTATTATCCAATGTATACGAAAGGAAGTATGTATAAATACGGGAAAAGGATAGAAAGATTTTTTTTACTAAAAAATATCAAATTTATGATAGTGAGGCAATTCACGTAGTCCTTAGTAACTTTGCAAATCACGTAGTTCACTTACTCCTTTGTAACTTCTTAAATTCCGTAAACTGACCTAGTTTTACAAAAATTTTGTAAAAATATGTGATATTTTTATTCAATGTGAACAAAAAGGAGTATAATCTGGAGGAAAAATAGAAAGAACTTTTATTAAATATCTTCAACTTTATGACCCAATCCTTAGTAACTTTGTAAAATCCGTAAATTCCTTAAACTTACAAATTTTTACAAAATGGTAAGTATTTCTGAGGAAAATTAGCTTCCAAATTTCTGTAAACTTGTTCAGACCAAGGGCGTCTTTTTATTTTGTAAAAATTTGTAACATCATTTTACAAAACTTAGGGAAGTTACCAATGCGTGAATTGTATGATTATTTTTTTATGCGAGAATTAGACGCCATATTTAAAAATTGACAAATTAAATTTGCTACTTAGATAATCATTTTTTATGTGAGAATTAGACGCCATATTTAAAAATGGAGAAATTAAATTTGCTAGTTGGATAATCATTTTTTATGCGAGAATTAGACGCCATATTTAAAAATTGACAAATTGACAAATTAAATTTGCTAATTAGATAACCATTTTTTGTGAGAGAATTAGACGCCATATTTAAAAATTGACAAATTGACAAATCAAATTTGCTAATTAGATAACCATTTTTTGTGAGAGAATTAGACGCCATATTTAAAAATTGACAAATTGACAAATCAAATTTGCTAATTAGATAACCATTTTTTGTGAGAGAATTAGACGCCATATTTATAAATTGACAAATTGACAAATCAAATTTGCTAATTAGATAACCATTTTTTGTGAGAGAATTAGACGCCATATTTATAAATTGACAAATTGACAAATCAAATTTGCTAATTAGATAACCATTTTTTATGCGAGAATTAAACGCCATATTTAAAAATTGACAAATTAAATTTGCTAGTTGGATAATCATTTTTTATGCGAGAATTAGACGCCATATTTAAAAATTGAGAAATTGACAAATCAAATTTGCTAATTAGATAACCATTTTTTATGAGAGGATTAGACGCCATATTTAAAAATTGACAAATTGACAAATTAAATTTGCTAATTAGGTAACCATTTTTTATGCGAGAATTAGACGCCATATTTAAAAATTGACAAATTGACAAATTAAATTTGCTAATTAGGTAACCATTTTTTATGCGAGAATTAGACGCCATATTTAAAAATTGACAAATCAAATTTGCTAGTTAGATAACCACGAACTGGTCTTAGATTTTACCAAGGACTTTGTGAACTGCCTCAATATTTTGCGAGGGATACGTGAGTCACGTCACGTTATACGTTACGTGACAATCAAATTGTATTAATTAGTAAATCTTTCCTTCTCTCTTGATTGGCGTGCTACACCCTTTTAAAAAATTGGTTTACATGCAAGCTCTTACAAAACGAGGGGACGATAACCAATCTGTGTAAATTTTGGATGGATTTTTTAAACTGAGTTTCCTTCAAGTAATTTTTGTAAATTTACGGTAAAGCTAAAAACTTTATAAATCTGCTGATTGATGCAAAAACTGTAGGTGCATAAAATTGTAAAAAGTATTTTTATTTAATTTGAGTGATTCATGTACTCTTCATTCGCACACAGTTGAACTTTTACAGAAATTGAGAAATCTGAGACACTACACCACTGCCAGTCTCAATTTGCCTAAAATTGTGATGACAGGGGACTTTGAGACTGACAGTGGCGTAGTTTCTCAGATTTCTGAATTTCTTTTTAAAAGAGAAATATTCACACATATTTAAACTTTTAAATTAAAAGTTTAAATATGTGTGAATATCTGTAGAGAGTATCATTTATGATTTATGTATGTCCATCTGTGTAAATTTTGGATGTATTTTTAAAACTCATTTTCCATTCAAGTAATTTTGGCAAATTTGCAAACTTTACAAACATCATAGATCGTTAATTTATGCAAAAAATATGAGTGTAACAAATTATACAGCAACATCTTTATCTACCTCGAAACTCGAATGGTTTACAACGATGGTTGGCAAAGGTGAAAAAAATAAGGAAAAAATTATGAAAACTTTTTATGTTTAAAATTCAATACAATTTTTAATTAAACATTTGAACTTTCAAATCTCTAGTTAATCTTTGGGATCTGTAAGTTGCTAATTTTTTTAGATCTGACGTCGAATTCTGGCATAAAAAATAATGAGGCAATGCACGCAGTCCTTGGTAATAAAATCTCTGCGGTTTGTAAAACAGTTTTACAAACTTGTACAAAATAATAATTATGGAGTAAGTTTAAAACAATTTTTTGTAAATTTTTCTTTGAAATATTACACGATTTTTAAACACGGATGCTTTTTCCATTTATCTAAATAGTCTTTGGGACATGAAATTTACCACTTTTTAAATGTGGCGTTTAATTCTCATAAATATCATATTGGATATTTTTTTTAATTTCAAAAAAAGATAAAGAGGAAACAATTTAGAGTTCTTATTTTGGTAATTTTTGCTATTTCTAGTGTGCGGAAGTGTTATTTTTTTTAGATTAACGAAATTTGTGTCTTGCGCACACACGTGCATAAAAAAATATAAACATATTAAACATAAACGTATTAACAATTTTTTGAATACAAACGTGCTCAGCTTTAGTAATATTTCGAAGTCTAAAGCAACATATAATGTAAAGCGAGATGCAAAATTTACAACGCAGGTTAGAAAACGATCACCCTACCCGCTTGTAATTTTTTATTCGTCTCTTTTTTATGCAATATCTTTCGGGTGAAAACTCAGAATTTCCAAACTATGGTTTTCATCCTGGAAACTAATGTTTTTTTTGGCGAAAATTCGAAGAAACTACACTAAATGCTCCAATTATACATTTGCATTCTTCCTAACGGGTTATCAATCCGACAAATATTTCATAAATGAAGACAAATTTAAACATTTTTTCCAAATTAATTGTACTTCGCGATTGGAATACTTTCAAGTCTAAAATGAAATGTATGTGTTCTAGAGTTATTTATTGATTAATAAGATGTATCTTTTTGCACCACAAAATGCAGAATTTGGCTGCATTTGACATAATAAATAGCTTACAAATTAGATTCAGACTATTTCAGACTTTCACACCATTTTATGAAACTATATAAATTTCTGGATGCTAAAAACTTTATACAAATAGGCGTCCTGTTCGAAGAACACGAAGTTTTGAAAATATGGAAATTTCACAACCTGAATTATTATAACTAATTGAGTTTGTTATAAATTAGAAATTTCATATTTTTTATTCATGTTGTAAACCAATTATAGTTTTTTTTAGAATGAGGAAATTCACGCAGGTCTTTGTCACTTTGTAAAATCCGAAAACTTCTAAACTTTAACAAATCTTTCTGAACGAAATTAACCTGCAAATTTTTGTAACTTGCTCAGATCAAGGGTGTGTTTTCATATGTAAAAGCTTTGAAAATTACATAATTCACAAAATTTACAGATTTCATAAGTTCTGGATGTAATTGACAATCTCGTATATTTCACCTAAATTGCTTTTTCCATCGGAAATTCACGAAGTTACAAATATGGCGTGTAACTCTCCCATTGAAAAAAATATATTTCTTTCCAATGTGTACAAAAAGAAGTATGGAGAAAAGAATCGAAAGATTTTTTTCTTAAATATCTTCAAATTTATGACAGTGAGGTAATTCGCGTAGTCCTTCGTAACTTTGTAAAATCCGTAAACTTAGAAATTTGTATAAAATTTAAAAAAATATATAAATAAAAAATATTTCTGACGTAAATTATCATACATTTTTTTTAAACTTGGTCAATCAAGGGCGTCTTTTTAATTGGTAAAACTACGTATTTCACGAAATTTACAGATTTTACGAGTTACCAAGGACTGCATGAACTGCCACAATATTTTGCGAGGGATACGTGAGTCAGGTAACGTGACAAACAAATTCGTATAAATTAGTTAATCCGTCCTTCCCCCTTAATTGGCGAGCTACACGCTTTTAAAAAATTGGTTTACATGCAAGCTCTTACAAAACGAGGAGACGATAATCAATCTGTGTAAATCTTGGATGGGTTTTTAAACTGATTTTCCTTCAAATAATTTTTGTAAATTTAAAAATTTTGCAAATGTCATGGATCATTAAGTTATACAACAAAATATGGATGTAACAAATTGTACAGCAACATCTTTATCTACCTCGAAACTCGAATGGTTTACAACGATGGTTGGCAAGGGTGAAAAAAAACAAGGAAAAAATTATGAAAACTTTTTAGGTAAAAAATTCAATAATTTTTTCAATTAATCTTTGGAACTTTCATATCTGTATTTAGTCTTTGTGATCAGCAACTTGCGAATTTGTAAATCTGGTGTCTAATTCTGGCATAAAAATAATGAGGCAATGCACACAGTCCTTGGTAACTTTGTAAAATTTTCGATTCGTGAAATAGATAATTTTACAAACTTGGACAAGATACACTCTAAATAAATTTGATTAAAATTTAC